CGGGGAGCAGCCGGGGATCGAACCGGCGCGGCAGAGGCCGCGGGCAGCTTCGCAACCCAGTGCTCAACCACTGTGCCACCGGGGAGGCCCTGTGTTGCTTTCTTAAAGCCCCCCAGCAGTACGCCCCTTCACGCTGAGAGGCCATGTTCCGCACCAGGTACTGGGAAAACCAGGTATGCAGAGGAACGCTGGAGCCAATGAAGACAGACTACCTAAGCACAGCACTCGTTCTGAACACTACCCAGAGGGCCTCCTCTGGACAGCGGCTGCTACGGTAACAACAGACACAACACGCGATGCTCAGATGCAATGAGGGACCCGAGGCAAGGCACCTGACCCCATCCAGTTTCCTCCCTGGGAAACACCATGCTTGCTGGTGTTGTTGAAAGGAGGATTTATGAAAGGAGCTTCAGCCTTCACCTGTGCCTTGCACCACAAACACATGGATGCTGGATCCGGGTTCACCCCGAGTTGCTCAGGCTCCAAAGGTAGGATTCACCCTCAACTACCCTGTTCCTCATACTCTGCATCCAACCCAACTGCCCCCAAAATATCTCCATCAGAACCCCAGTCCCCACATATTCCCTTCTTCCTGGATGCCTCCACTGCCCCAACTTCCACACCCCCACCAGTGTCCCTGCCTCCTCTTGGGGCCTGCTGTGGTCCATCACCCATTTAGGCGGTGCTCCCCACCTAAAGCCTTCCAACATGCTCTCATTATACTGGGAGTCAAACCCAATTTCCTCACCAGCGCCTCCATGGCCCTGCCCTGCCACCTGCTCAGACCCTCCTCCCCACAGCAAGCCAGTCGCACTGGCCTTATTTCTCACCTGCCACACTCGAACCTCATGCTTCGCACATGCTGCTCCTCCAACTTGAATTCTCCCTTCCCAAAGTGCCCAAGGGCTGCCTTCAATCATTCATCCACTTTATTCAAATCGACAGCTGACTATGAGCTGGTTCCCTGAGAAAGCACCACAGCAAGCATGCAACCAGAACTTCCTCATTCAAAGCAAGATTTTTTTTTTAAAACATGGCACCTTATAGAGGACTTAACTTCTGCCAAATATGTTGGTCAGACATCTTTGCAGTTAAATGTCACTCATGATATACACACAAGAGGTGACATCACCTCCCCAAAGTCACAATACCTCAGCACCTCAAGGCAAAGGATCTAGGAAATGTACTGGCAAATACTGAACCCCCTTTATTTACCATTTACAGTATTTTGCACCTAAAAAGAAAAAGAAAAACCATAAAGTAAGAGAAGCTTTTCAAAAATCTCACCACTCTCCTGTTCCTATACTGACTGCCTGGTGGCGGGGCTGTGAAACAAGAGAACACTTTCAACTTAGAAAGCACCATTCTCAAGTCGGCGCATCAGTAGCACCCTGGCTGATGCCAACAGGAATGGGTGCAGGCGCTAGGACTTTGGGCTTTGGAATCAGAAAGGTGCAGATTCAAATCACGTCTGCCCTAAGTAAGTTTATTTTATTTTACTTAGCAATTACATACACTTACTAGTTGCAGGCAGGGCTCTAAATAATGTAACTATGGTATGATTATTTGAGAAGTCAGATGTACCATTACTTGGATTTTACAGGGGAAGAAACAGGCACAGAGGTGAAGTAACCTGCCCAAAGTCACAGCCAGTGGGTATAAGAGCGAGCATTCAATCCATGTTCTTTGGTTAAACGGTGCACCCACCCTAATTCTGGTCACCCAGAAGATAGGGCTAACAGGTCTGCTTATCTCGAGAGCCAGGTGAGATTACTAGCACCCAATTAGGTAAATGTTAGCTACTCTTATTGGTAGTAGCAATTGTCATCATTCTATTATCTACCTTTATCTTTTATAAAGCCAAGGGCTGAAGAAAAATATTTTGGCTGAAAAAGGCCCTCTACAGTAGATTACATTAGAATGGAAGCTCCATGAGAAAAGGAATTGTCTGGTCTGCCTATCATTTAATCTGGGGCACACAGCAGTTGCTCAGTAAATACACATGAATGAAGTAGGACTAAACTGAATGCACAGACAAGGTTTGCAGACATGACAACTAAGGTAGTACCTTAGGTGGTACTACCTTAAATGTAGCTAACCACAGAAAGAGGTAAAGGTACAAGGAGTCAGAGGACAGTGGTAGCTGGCCATTACCTAAACAGCCTGGCTATAGGGAAACAACGTGGTACCATGTTATTTGTTCATCTTAGCTGAAGGAGACCTGGATTTTAATCCTAACTCTGCTACTAGGTGTCGCCCAGGCTCTTAAGGTCCTGGACTATGCATCTACAAATAAGGAGACTCAACTACTGAATGGCTATAAACGAAAACATTCTGCTTTCTCATGACTTTATAACAACCATCCTTTATAACAACCACCAGAAGCTGATTCCCAAGTACTCAAAAAATGTTTGTCAATGAAGATCATCCCCGATGGATAGATGACCAAACTGGGGTTTAGAAGTAACTTGCTTGGGCCTCCCCTGGTGGCGCAGGCAGTTGAGCGCAGCGCAGGCGGTTGAGCGCAGCACTGTGAAGCTGTCCACAGCCTCTGCAGCGCCAGTTCGATCCTGGCTGGCCAGCAAGGGTCCCGCATGGCGCTGCAGACCTCTCCTGTCGTGCCCCCTGTTCCCCTCGGCAGTGTATTTCGTCAGTCTGCCTGTTCTGTTCCCCACTCTCTCTGGTGAATCCTCTCACCCTCCTGCAGATCTGGTATGTACCCCAGCTCTTGTATAAATAAATAAATAAAAATCTTAAAAAAAAAAAAAAAGAAAGAAAGAAAGTAACTTGCTCAAGGTCACAGGGTGAGGGTAAAACATGAACAATGCCCCAGATCTCTTCTATGCTGGTTTAACACTCATGCTTTCCAAGATCTTTATTTAATTCAAAAATACCATGCTATTAGCCAACTCCTCCAATCTCAAAAAATCTATTATTTGATAATCCTACCAAATAATCTTGTCTGACTTCACTACATCATGGTTAGCAGGACGAGGAAGAAACAACTATTTCCACATTGCTAACCTACAGACTCAAACCATTAGGGCAAATTCCTTCAAAGACTACGCCTTGTCTTTGCCCAGAATTGAGAGGTCAGACTACTTTGAGATAAATAATGATTTCACTGTAAACCACAGGATTTAAATTAAAGCAGTATGATTTTCGGGCCTCCCCGGTGGCGCAGCAGTTGAGCGCTGGGTTGTGAAGCTCCCTGCAGCCTCTGGCACCGGTTCGATCCCCAGCTGCTCCCCAGCCACCGGAGAAGGGTCCCACATGGCGCGCAGACCTCTCCTGCCGCCCGCTGCTCCCCTCAGCAGTGTACTTCGGTCCTTCTGCCTGCTCTGCTCCCTGCTCTGGCTCTGGTGAATTCTCTCACCCTCCCGCACTTCTGACTGTACCCAGTGCATGTATAAACAAATAAATAAAATACGTGCCTCTTTAAAAAAAAATAAATAAAATTTAAAAAAAAAAGCAGTATGATTTTCAAAACTAAATGTCTAGTAATATAATGCTCCCTGAGTACAGCACATAGCTTTTAAATTTTATTTTTTTAAAGATTTACTTATTTATGCATACAAGAGCTGGGGTACAGGCCATAGGGTGTTGGGGAGGAGGGTGAGAGGATTCACCAGAGACAGAGTGGGGAACAGAACAGGCAGATTGACTGAAGTCCACTGCTGAGGGGAGCAGCGGGCGAGTCAGGAGAGGTCTGCTGCACCATGTGGGTTGCTCCCTGGCAGGCCGTGGGATTGAACTTGTGCTGCAGAGGCTGCGAACAGCTTCATAGGTTGCGTCTTAACCCCTTGCACCACCAGGGAGACCCAGCTTTTAAATTTTATAATCAAAGTTGTGCCACTTGATTCAAAGTAAATTCACAAGGTAAAAGGTTTACAAATGTTACAAATGCTTGCTTTTTTTATTTTTATTAACAAAATACAAGCTTGACATTGAATTTTTGAATATAACATTTTGTCAAGTTAGGAGTGAAAAAAACCATCTGGCCGTCACAGTCAATTTTCTAGCTGGCTCATAACAAGAGAGTCAAGGTCAAACTGTTGAGTCTCCTTACCCTCCCATAGAAAGGCAGCTAATTGTGAACTCAAAATGTAACAGGTGGTCCCCAGAAAAAAATACTCCATATTCTGGTACTCTGACTAATACAAATGTCAGCTTCAGGATCACACTGGCTCAGAAAATTCTGCGAGGGAAGGTTGACATGAACAAGAAAAACAGGGATAGCAGGACAGATGTTCAAAACACAGTACTCTGACACTCAGAGAATAGGAACTTTCACTACTTTCTAGTAGATCATCACCTATCAGTTGAGAGTACTCAGGCTACCAAATGACGACATGAATCAAATGATGATACGATAAGGAATTAAAATAATCTTGCAATCATGGGTAAAGATGAGAGACTGTTAGGGGGAAAGGATGACAAGATGACTGTGGACATTTCTACGTACTACTACATATGGGGCTGGAAGACCCCTCACATTTCTGGCTCCGTATTTTGAAGTCCTTTCAATAACGGAATAGGGAACTAGATTTTTCTCCAGACTTTCGGTCCGGCAACCTAGCTAGCAAGTCTCTGCCGCTGAGCGATAAGAAGGGAGGTCTTCAGGCTCTGGGCCTAGTGGGCTCAACAAGGACCGCGCCCCCAAGTCACCTTGCACTCACCTTGAGCAACAGAAAGGAACCCTACTGGAGAGTGGAACTCAGTCCTCAAAAAGGAGAATGGGGTGTCGGCACTCTTCACCAGGCCGCCGAAGTTTGGACCCACGCTTCCCGCAGGGCGGGGACAGGGACGGGGAAGCCGACTGAACCGGGGACGCTTTGACCTCGGGCACCGGCGGAGCGGGCACAGGCGCTAGGCCGGGACAGGTACAAAACTTGGCCGGAGGCCGGGCCCGCCTCACCTGGCCTCGCCTCGCCTACTGCCGCAGGCACAGCAGGAGGCACCCCGCCCCCGTGAACCCAGAGGGCCCTGAGTTCGCTCACCTGCAACCGGGTCACCAGTAGGCTGTAAGGCGCCATTTTGTGCACTGACAAAGATTAGGTCGCGTGAAAGTGACGTCCCGAACGGCGCATTTAAAGCCTTCGGGCAGGGGGCGTGGCCCCCGTCACGGCGAAGGCGGGGCCTCCATGGGGCACTAGAGCCCGGGGAGCGCGGTGGGCGGAGCCTCCGCGTTGTAACCGACGCGGAAGAGGAAAAAGAGCTGCTTAAAAGCCTGGAGGAAATCAGTGCCAGTACAAAGCTGTCTTATCAAAGTGCAAATTTCATTTGTCTCTTTCACCCAAATTGGGGATAAAGGATTTTTTTAAGACTTTCCCGCATCTGCCAGGACCTGGCTGCCCAGCTGGGCGGAAACGCCTCTTGGGAACGAACGGGCTTTGATCGCGCGAGATCGCGCGGGGCTTGGTGCGAAGAGGGTAAAGCTGATGGACGCCTAGAGGACCAATCGCGGCGGCCGGGAGGCAGGGCAACAAGGGTTAAAGGTCGAGCGGAAGTTCCTCGAGTTTCCGGTGGCGGGCTTGGCTGGGCGCTATGGCCAAACATCATCCGGACTTGATCTTTTGCCGCAAGCAGGCTGGTGTTGGTGAGCCTGCCTCCTGTCCCCGGCCGTGGGGGTGGGGGTGGGGGTGGTCTCAGGGGCGAGGAGGCCGCGGATCCCGCCTGTCCTTGGGATCTTGCCTCTGGGCGCCACGTTTCCCGCCTCCTGGCCGGTAGTGGAGAAGCGCGGGTTCGTGGCCTCTGGTGAAAGGAGGGCGGGGGCTCGCGTGCTGGGAGCCCCGGCGGGGGCCTGGGTGGGGCCGGCAGAATCTAATTTCCCCGGACCTGGGAGGGGCTTCGGGAGGGTGGGGGTTTGGTTCGGAGCTAGTTTGCAGGGCTGAGATGAATAAGCTTCCCCAGGACACAGCAGCTCCTGCTGCTGTCTCCACCCCAAGCTCCTGGGTGGGCTTCACCGATTCGTCAAAACCTTAATTCTAATGGTTCTCTTTTCTGTCTTTGATCTTGCAGCCATTGGAAGATTGTGTGAAAAATGTGAGTGAAACACACCTTCCCAAACACCCCGCCCCTGCCGCACAGCGTTGCCGTGGAGCCAGCAACAGGGCAGTTCCAGCGGAGCCGCAGAGGGCTTTGCTTAGATGGGCCCTGAAGCGTGTCAATACAAGGCCAGGCAGCAGCCACAGCCCCTTTCACAGTCCACCCCCACCCCCCCGCACGTTTTAGACGCTGTGTTTGGGTTTCGAGGCAATCTCTTAACTTTTGGAGTAGTCTTAGCCCTCCCAACGTGCGTTTTTTTCCCCCTGGAACTACATGGGTTTGTCACCAGATGCTGTGCGGGCTCTTTACATATTAATTGATGAGCTTTTCCTAAGTGTTGTGGGGTATGCCAAGTTTTGTGATCCTGAAGTAGAGGGCCCTGAAGTCATCTTCAAAAGGAGACTAGTGTGTTTCCTCATTGCGGAAGGGGGTAATTGCAAGTGAGTTACCGCCACTCTCTTTTCCTCACAGGTGATGGCAAGTGTGTGATCTGTGACTCCTACGTGCGCCCCTGCACCCTGGTGCGCATATGCGATGAGTGTAACTATGGCTCTTACCAGGGGCGCTGTGTAATCTGTGGAGGCCCTGGAGTCTCGGATGCTTATTACTGTAAGGAGTGTACCATTCAGGAGAAGGACGTGAGTATATCCTAAGATTTCCATCCAGCTTTCCTTTTACTTAGTAACACTTTGCCATCCATGGCAAACCCCCTATGGTCTCTGGAGATCACTATGCTCAGCTAGATACCGAGGCTATAATTTCTTCGAGCCCTGTAAGCCAAACTGGGTGTCGTCCCACAGCAGGCAGTTATTTTGAATCAAGGGGGGGAAATGCAAAAGAAGCAAGTCTTTGTCAACACCAGCAGTTTGGTGTAGCTCTTTCTAGTCCTTTGATGTTTCTCTGTGATTATTTTTACTCAGAAGCAACGTCCTGCACTTTGTAAGGCCTGGCAGAGCTCATGGTGTGGAATAGCCACTCCATAATTCTTTTTACTATCATTAAGGAATGTTTGGGTGATGTGGAATTGGGGACAATTTGGGTCGCTTGCAGCTTGAAACAGCCACAGAATGCCTTGATACTTACTGTGATAAGTTCTGTGTTTGTGATTCTGTCTCATGGCATTTTTGTCCCTTGATGTTGTGTGGTGGCAGTGGCTGTTTATTCAGCTCCTTGAACCAAATGCCAAGCAGCAGGCCTGTAGATCTGTAACAAAGAAAGGCCTCACAACTTCAGATTGGAAGCAGTAGGCTTTCAGGGGCAAGAGGGGCTTATGACACAAAAGGAAGTGTGATAGAGTGCCACCAGGCTAATAGGAGGTATCTGGTTACTTAATCTAGAACAAAGCAAAAGATATGTAATTCTGAATATTTTCACAAGCAAAGAATAGGCAATTCATAGATGCTATCTCCCTTATTCTTCACAATAACTTTAATAGGGATTATTATCATGCCCATTTTCCAGTCCCTCACCCAGCTAATAAGTGGCCAGACCAGGCTGTCTGACGAGACCTAGTGGTGTCCCCATTACACCGTGTTGTCCTTGTGTAAGTCCTTTAATTAGAACGTGCCCACGATGGGGAGAAACAACCCTTGCCACCTCAGCAGTCTAGGCAGGCGCAGCCTTTATGCCCCCTATGAGTGGGATATATCTGCCAGATAATACTCTTGCAACATTAAACCTTCTGTTACTTAGGACAATGAGAAAGGTCACAAATAATGTGTCCAAAACATAATCTCAGTTGGTGATTTGAACCATCTGCCCTAAACTCTGCTTTGCATGTCCCTTTAACTGTCAAATCATGTCCGGCTTGATCTGATCCACCAACTGGGTCACGCTACTTTAGAGACAGGGCCTTGGTTTGTGTGTTTGTCTCTCCTTTCCCCAGCTCTAACTAAGCACAGTCCACGTTCTGGGCCCCACCCATAGGAATTCCCACGTGCAGTGTCTGGTACAGTAGGCCTTTGGTAATTGCTGAGTCTCTAAGCAGGGAAGCCACAGTCAGACAATAGCCGTGAAGAGAAATTCCACAGCTCTTGACCTAATGAGTCCACTGAGGACAGCATTTTCTTGGACTTGTGTTCAGTTGTAGCCAGAATTCTTGTCTGGCATAAAGTTGCAACTGGAGTGTGCTCGATTGATAATTGCCATCTGACTTGTCTGTGTTTCATGTGTGACCTGATACCTGGGGTTCTTCAGGCCTTATTCTTTCCCTGGGAATCCTAGACATCACTTCCTCTATTTTGCATTCTACCGCAGTGTTCTAAGGATATTTGAGGGGGAGTCTAGCTTACATTTACCCAGCAGTAGTTTCCAAGAAACACAAAGCAACCCAGTGACGCGATCCAGCCTCTCAGCCTTACAGGTCACCACGCAGATTCAGCTTTTTCCTATGCAGAACCTCCCTGCAGCCAAAGCAGCCCTGCTTTGTTTTCCTTCTCCAGCAACTGTAATGGTTTATAAGGGAATTAGGCCAGCAAACTAAGCTGGCCGCTGTCAGAGCTTTTCAAAGCCTCCAGAATACTCAGAAGTCGAGCTGGTAACTGCAGGTGTTGCTGTCGAATTAGAGAACACATAGTTTACGGTTTCATCCTTAATTTCCCCTGGACCCTCAATCGTCCATTTTCTTCAACTCTCCCAACCAGCAAATAAGAAAAATAGCTTCTAATATTGCTGGAGCTCCTGCTGTGCCAAGTACTGTGCTGAACACGCTTTCCCAAAAGCTCTGAGGAGACAAAGGCTTAGGGGTGTTTGAGTGACGTGGCCCAGGGCCTCAAGATAAATCTGGCAGGGGCCTCCCCTGGTGGCGCAGCAGTTGAGTGCTGGGCTGCAAGGCTGCCCGCAGCCTCTGCAGCGCTGGCTCATTCCCCCGGCCGCTGGCGAGGGTCCCACAAAAAAAAAGATAAATCTGTGGCAGATCCAGGTGCTAGACCTCATGTCTTTTTCTCAACTTTTTTCCAAATGCCCGTTCCCCCATGAGGAGAAGAGTTAAATATTAAGGAGTAAGTTTTTGTAGGTGAGCTTCGAATCTTCAACCTGTAATCTTCATCCGGAGGGTTCATCCCCTCCAGATGCACGATTTAACTCAGCATTTATTCCAGGGTGGCTGAGAATGTGCCTCCCCCTCGCTGTTTCTCCTCTGCTCCCCATTTAAGTGAATAGCACAGTCGTTAAATAGATGAAAAAGATATATGATACTTTTTTAAAGTTAATTCATAAATTTGCCATTCTCTTCAACTTCCTAAAACATGGGAAAGTTTGGGGCTTGCCTCGGAGAAGCCCCTGATCAAGTCTTGGCTTTTCTACTCACATGCCAGGTGTAACTTTGAGAAAATCCCTACCAAACAGGAAGTAATATTCCCTGTTACCTTGTGAGTGTATGTTTTAGACCTTCGAGATCTCTGAAAATAAAGATTGGGGCAGAAAACATGATGGTGTCAAGTCCGCACCGCTGCACCCTCTGGCTTTCACCTCCCTGTGTTTACAGGACAGTTGTCCAAAGAAGGGGGCATGTTTCCCTTTTAGTTCCTGTGAAGGAAGCAGGTCTGGCCACTGACTGGTCCCGTTTGTGAGGAATAGCCGTGTAGACACATTTTCAGTGACTGTTTGCCTGATCTCGAATTGTTTAAATTTCCTTCTCTTGCGTTTCAGTTCTGTACAGATTTTCCTCTGGTATATTACTTTTGAGCGCATGATTAATGTTGGTTTGTAAAGATACTAATTGTAGAGACATGGGTTTTCATCACTGGTTCAGGATAAATTTTGTAGCTTGCAGTCCTGCCCTTGAAGTGGACTCGAAACAAAACCTTCCTCAGGAAAGAAATGCAAGGCATTGAGTTCGCCTTGGTTGTTGCTCTGGAAGCCGACTTGGGGTCCTCCTGGTGATGTTTCTGTGGCCATGATGAGTAGAACGGAAGCAGGAGCGGCATAGTCTAGCGTCTACTTCTCTTGTGAAATCTTAGAAATTAGGTGGCCGTGAGATGTATTTCCCGTGGGCATTCACTCCGGTGACAGCTGCCTGAAATAACAGCTCCCTGTGCTAGGACTGGGGACATGTGTCCTCTGGGCGGATTGAGAGGATGACATTTTCAGTATTCAGGCATGCGCTTGCTAAAAGAGCTGTTACCTCAGATAGACATTTGCAGGTATTTTTAGAATAGCCTCAGGCTCAACTCACAAACACACTCCTAGACCTTCCAAGGTTTCTTAACAGTCTTTGCATCTTCCTTTCCACGTCCTCACAGCAGCCAGGCCCCGGGCACACCGCCGCACCTCTCACAGTCCTGGTAGAATTGGGGGATGCCATGAGACCCTTGGGAGATGTGTGGAAAATAAAATGCCAGGGAGTTTAGGTGAGAAAACAGGAAACCTGTGAGTCAGTGAGAGCTATAAAAGCAAGAAACTAGGGAGGATTTAATAATCTAGTGTGCTGGAATTTTCCAGCTCATTTTAATATGTTGCATGCTAGTTTCAAAAAAGTACAGAAGTCCTCTCTCATCTGGAGGGGGGTCCATTCCAGGACTCACGGTGGATGCCTGACACCGCAGCTGATACCAAACTCTGCCCATCTCTCTATGCTGTTTTTTATCTGTACATACTTGTCATAAACAAATTTATAAATTACACATAAGAGATTAACAACAATAGCTAAATAAAACAGGACAGTTCTAACAGCAAGCTGTAATAAAACTTAATGTGAATGTTTTCTCAGAACTTTTTTTTTTTTTTTTAATTTATTGATGCATACAAGAACTGGGGTGTAGGCGGTGAGAGGATACACCAGAGACAGAGCAGGGAGCAGAACCAGCAGATCCACTGAAATCCACTGCTGAGGGGAGTCAGGAGAGGTCTGCTGTGCCATGTGGGTAGCTCCCTGGCTGGGCATCGAACTCGTGCTGCAGTGGCTGCAGAGAGCTTCATTGGTTGCGTCTTAACCCCTTGCGCCACCAGGGAGGCCCCTTGGAGATTTTTAAACAGCGTGCATCGGTCCCGGGAAAGAGGTGTTAGCGGAACTAGAAATGAGAGGGCTGTGGGGTGGGCTTGACGACGTGCTACAGGCCAGTGTCACGGGAGCAGCCTCCTGTGCAATGGGATCAATCCATGAGAGGGGTTTTCTAGAAGCAGCTTCCCCAGTTTCCTTTCTTCACCCCAGATTGACACAAGGGAGCCGTCATTTTGCAGAACAGCTTCCAGGGGGCACTGCTCACAGCAAGGCCAGGGGAACGTGTCATTACACATCAGAGTCAGCAGCGTCTCTAGCACAGGTGCAACCCCCCGCCAGACTGTGTGTCAAAGTCAGAGCACAAATAAGGACACAGCAAACCCCATGTCCTAAGTGCAGGCCGCTGGGCCATCACCTGGTCAGCCAGGCCCTGCTGGTAGCCGGAGCAGGTGGCTGACTGGCAAGGTGACTAGATCCACTGTCAGTCCAAACGTCCTCTCTGTAAAACCTCTCAAGTCACTCAGTGAATCCTCTATTCTGTTTTCCAGAGAGACGGTTGCCCCAAAATTGTCAATTTGGGGAGCTCTAAGACAGATCTCTTCTATGAACGCAAAAAATACGGCTTCAAGAAGAGGTGATTGGTGGGCCGCCTCTTCCGCGCCCCACCAAGCTGCTGCAGCTGCCCAAGAAGACGCCCACGGCCTCTCCACCTTCCTCTCCTTCACCCAGACGGGGTAGAAACGGAAAAGGATTCCTCACACGCGCTCTGGCAGACTGTATCAGAGAAAAATGGGTAGATTAGTTCATGGTTTTCCTTGAATTCGAGAAGCAAGGCTGTTTTCCACATCGCGGCGTCTGTCCACCATGAGCTTCTAAAACAGAACGGCATCGGTTGGGGTTTCCTGGGAGGGGTGGTGAGGAGCTCCCTGCTGTGAGAAGCAGGTGCCGGCAGCAGCTCTGGTGGCTGTGTCCTCGGGAGAGACCTGCCGCTCTCAGCAATCCCAGAACAACCATGTGGACTTGGGATCTTGTGACCCTGACCAGGTCTTGCTGGTTCTGTTATTTTCGCCTGAGAAATTGGAAACCTTTTCTGTTGCTATTGTATTAATAAAGTGGGTGTTTATTTTCTGATAGTCACCTCCCCAACCTAAGCCTAATTCTAGGACTCTGTTGTCCAGGAATTTGTGATTCAAAGTCGAGGTAATGGAATTCATTAAGCACCTGTTCTCTTACTACTGTCTGAAGGAATTCAGAACCACCCATGCCTTTCTGTAGAGGTAAACCAAAGTCATTTTTAGATACTTAGGATTTTTATTTCCTGTCCAGCCTCAGTTTTGAACTGTAGAGATGGTTTCCAGCCATGGTGAGAGGTGAGATCAACAATAGCTGAGTGGATGAGTGCGCGCACTTACCTGAGCAGATGGTTCATATTTTTCAAAGCAAGTGAACAGTGTAAGAACAAGCTCAGACTTTACCCTTACTCAGCCGTCTGCTCTCCACCTGCTACCAGTGATCAGCAAGCTACCCCAAGGAGGCACAGCCACATGTGAAAGGTTCCTCCAGTGGATCTTTGACGTCCTCAATCTGGAAAAGCTTCCAAGTGCTGAGGAATCCAGGGTTGGGCCCAAGGTCACTCTGCAGTATAGGGGCAGGGCCAAGGAGGAGTCTTCAACTTCTCAGGTTTGGGTTGAGATCAGCAAAACTCCTGATTGCACGTGACATAGTGATTCTCTGAAACCACCTTTGCCTCCAAGGAATTCAGTGAGGCAGCCTGATGAATAGTTCCAGTACAGCTTGAGGCTGCACAAAGAAAGGGTTCTTGGCCCAACTTTGGGGTGCCTCAGGAGGCCATAACCCAGGGCTAAGGCCCCCTAGGCTTCCCCATCTCCTCTCCCACCCCTCCAGCCACTTGGGTGCTCAACTCCAAACTACTGCTCTCCTTCCTACTATGCTTTCTACACTGATGCTAATGCTCAGCCCTTGTTTTGCTCAACAAACCCGATCTTCAGACCTTGGCTGTTTCCCCAACTCCAGACCCCCAGTCTAAGTCCCCTTGGCTATACTCGCACTAGACTGCGAGCATTTTGTTTACAGCATTTGGTGGTGATTGATTCATCTAAGCCGAGTTCCATTGTGGGAGGAGCCGAGCTGTTCTGCCTGGCAGATGGCAGGTGTTGGTGCTCACTGAATAATTGAAGTCCAGGAAAGCAGATAATAAGGTGGGCTTTGAAGGATAAACCACGCAAAGGGAGCGGGGTGGCAGATGAGGCCATTGGTGTGGGGAAAAGCTATTTGGACAGGGGGGTGTGTTTGGGGAGCTATCTGAGCACTTCTAAGGCAGCAGGTGGTTATGTCAAAGAAATGGCAGAGGCCAGGGACCGCTTCAAATTAGAATTGTAACTGACTCCATAGTAACAGTCTTTATGTGTAACATGAGTCAATGTTTTGTCAAAACAAATTCAATTTTTTAAAGTTTGCTTACAAAGCGTTCAAATCCACACAACATCTGCAATTACAAATTTTTCAAAAACGCCTTAGTTCCAGCAAAACACCTTAACTGTTCCCTCAGCCTCAGCATGTGTGCCTCTTGCCAGGTGGTTTAAGGTAAATGCCCAGTAGGATATCAAAGGACTTATCCCTTCCCCTCCGATGAGCTGGAGGCCAAGGTCAGCCTCAACCCAGTGAATTCCACTGGCCTCTCTTCCCTGTCACCTAATTTCATAATCCCAGTCTTTAGTTCTTTCAGAGAGTTCAAGAGAGCAATACAGTGGATGCGTTAACCCCTGAGGAAGCAAATGGTCTTGGAAGTTCAAATCCTTAATTAGTGTCTACCTTGAACTTTAATTCATTTTAAAAATTAGAACGATAGTACCCAAATCTGTGGGGAAAAACATCACAAGTTGAATTTAACCTCCCTTATGTGAAAAGAATTAGAATAATAACTGCAGCCAACTGTATGGCCACAGAAAAATAAGAATGGCTTTTATTAGTGTTGATGTTTTTCTCCATTGTTCAAATTAGCACTGTCTATGTAGATCTAGTTGAAGTAACTAAACTCATCATGGTCAGTCTAAAAAAGGGCTTCCTTTTCCTAGACTAAGTTATTTAAGTGTTCAGCGTTGGTTTTGTACTTAGTTCTGGGTTCTAAAAAGGATAGCTGTCTCCTAGCTCCTCTGGTACACGCTGTACACATGGTAATTTAATCTTTAAAGCAGGGCACTTATTACTTATGCGCTTGTTAAAAAAAAGAGTAAAGAAATGTGTGGGTTTTATAATCAGACTTGTATTTGAATTCTGCTATTGACCTTTGCCAAGTCTTTTTTTCCCCATAGGCCAATAATGCCTGCTTCTGGGTTGTAAGGATTAAATTTGACCTTGCGAGTGCCTGACCCTCACTGGAAAGACTAGTCCTTTCACCGTGGTTCCCTGCTTCCGAGTTAGATTTAGGTTCTGGCATAGAAGGTCCTCCAGAAGGTTCCCTCTCTCCCCCTACCCCCAAGGTTTTTCTTCACTCCTCCCAGTGCTCTGCATCAAGCAGTTGAAGAACATTCCTTGCACACTCCCCGTCTTCTGGGTTAGTTCCCTTTTTGAAACACCCTCCCACCTCTCTAGCAGCTAGCTCCCTGGGTACCTCTTCCTGCCAAGCTGCCATCCGAAAGCTTCCCGATGGCCCTCGAGCTGCAGCCATCTCTCTCACTTGACTGTCATGCCTAGTACATGCATAGAAGAAACAAAAGGTTGATAATATTTACTGGATTGAACGCCAATATTTTCACTTTATTCCATTGTACTCTAAAATTTCTGACTGAAATTCATTAAACGAGAGGACTTTATGACCCCGTGAATGATCCTGACCCAAAGTAAAAACGGTGAACAAACGATCAAAGGTGAGTCCCTTGAGCTCCTTTTGCCTCTCCCTCCACTGCAGGGCACGAAAGAGGCAGCCACAATAACTACACTGAACTAAAACGAAACGGGCCACAAACTCAGGAGGAGTCCGGGTGATAGAGCTGTAGGGGAGGGCTGTAAGAAGAGCCCAGCTGTGATGGTAAATGGTGTGTGACCTCCAGCCTCAGTGTCAGGGAGTAATAGGGGGCAGAGGGGCCTGGCAATGGAGGCACCTGCTGTTCAACTCCAGACAATCACCAGCTTAAAGGCCTGGTGTTGCCAGATCTTTCAAATTTAGGACAAGTGGCAAGTTAAGATATTTTTGTGCAATCTCCCAACTTTAAAATGTCAACTCATTGAAAAAAAAATAGAATGTGCCAGTTTTTGCCAAGACACTACATTCTACCCATCCCCGCCCCATGTGGACCTTGGCCGGCCAATAGCAGCACCCTCTAAATGAAGAAAATGAACTTCCAGCCAGTCAAACCAAGCTGACTGCGTTTGAGAGAGACTGTATTTTGACCTGTAGCTTTTTCACAGTAGCTTCAAGCTAGTACATAAAGGTGAGAGAGTCTTTGCTTTGGGGAAATAAAACCGGGCTCCAATTAGTCCCTTTTCCCAATTAATCAGGTCCTCATCAATTCCGTCCCCCAGTGGGCTACCTGCCACCACCAAGGGGAAACTGTTACTTTCTTCAAACGCTGTCTTTTAGCTTCTTAACAAAAGACAGGTGTGTGTGCTGGTTACTAGAATTCATCCACATTAGTCGCAGTGAATAACTAGCAAGTCATTTGGCCTCAGCATCCAAAGCACTCTCCGTGGTGCTGTCTGCCCCTGCCCATCTGAAGAGGGGGGCCCAAGAATCAAAAGAGGAGTTATCTTCTTGGGTCACTTAAAAGTAACTTCACAATTTCTCACCCTGGCATGTGTGTGTGACTCATCCGTGGAGTTAATTGGGGCTAATTAGGACCAGACTGACTCGTCACCGCAGCAGAACATCTGCCATAACTTGCGTATTCTCAGGTCCAGGGCTTGTCCCGCCCTCTGCCCCCACAGGCTTACTCCCCAAGCACCCCACTTGGGAATCCCGCACGTGCTCTCCACATGTGATTATCCAGGTGGGGCGGGGATGCTTGAGTAGTAATTCAGCTCACAATTAAGCCCAGGCAGGATGAAATCACACGTTGCGGAGAGAAAAAAGCCTCCTCCTCACCAGATGATAAACGCAGACATCAGCACTTAAGAGGGGTGACTGCCTTTCTCCCTCCATTATTTCCTCACATTTTATTCATTTTTTCGGCTTTGTCTTTCCCCTAGCTCGGCTAACCTTTTGTCCAGGGCTCCCATTTGCCAACGAGGCTGATTTCTCAATTTTGTCTTAGGGATGTTGCTCTGGCTGGTGTTTCCAGGGGAGATTCCCGTGAAAGCAGAAACGCGCAGAAACTCAACCCCTCACTTGCAGGGATTCAGTTCCCCCCTCAGGCTGCACCGACTGATAGAATGGTAGATGTCCACGCTTTACCTGCCTGTGTGCACTCCATGCCTCCTTCCCGGGACGCCCTAGGAGAGGTGGTCTGAGCCGCCCGCGCCTTGTCCATCTTTCTCTGGTAAGGTTTCTCACACCAAACTGACAGGACATGTAGGGTGCAATCTGGTCAGAGCGTATCTTTACAGCAGCCATTTGAGCAAGGTTTTACCTCAGTATGTGATCCAGATTTGGTGAAAAAAAAGGTTTGGAGAGGTAAAGAGATTCGCTGCCATTAAGTCAAGATAACACCGTTAGTGGCAGAACAGGGATTCAAACTCACCTATTTCCATGGCCGCCTCTAATAAAAATGACTACAAATACCAGCATCCCTTGCGAAGCGCGCTGTGCAAACGCGCTTCGGCTCTCGCCCCTCCCTTCCTTAGTCCGAGGGTTGGACCCCAAAGCCCAATCACACGCTGCCGCCCCAGCGCCCCGGCCAATGGGAAGGCTGTTGCTAACTCGCCGGGTCTATTTTTAGCCTTGGGCGCTTAAGCGCCCTCGGGGCGGGCGGGGTCTGGCCGCTTCGGGGAGGGGCGGGGCGCGACGGGGGCGGGGCGGGGCGCGACGGGGGCGGGGCGGGGCGGGGCGTGCTAGTGACGCTCGGCCCGCGCTGAGGACGGGCGAGTAGGCCCCGCAGGAGCCGCGGGGGGGCGCGCGGCCCCGGCTCCCGCCCCCGCGCCGCGGCGTTGCCCTCCGCACGGGCGTCCCCGCCCCGCGCCGCCGCGGTCCCGGCCGACAGTGACCGGGAAGCAGCGCCACGGCTCGCGCTGCAAACTTCGGGCCTCGCCACGGTGCGCGGGCTCCCGGGGGCCACCCTGTTGCACGCCCAGGCCGGGCCCCGGCCACCCCCCCGGCGCTCCACGAGCCCGACGGGGCGCGAGGGCTGGGGAGCCGCGGCCCCCCAGTCCGTAAGGGCCCGATCGTCCCCGCGCCGGCGAGCGGCCGTGGGCTCCCCGCCCCGGGGCAGGCGCCCGCGCCGGCGGGACCGGCCGGGGGCCCCGGGAGAGGCGGGGGTGCGGTTCCGACGAGCGCGCTGGCGGCCGGCGCAGACGCGGCGCCGAGATCCCGGGGGCGCCGCACCCCGCCAGGGGCCGCCGCCGCACAGCTCCGAGGGGGGCGGCCGGCCGGGCCCGGCCCCGCGAGCGCGGCCGCAGCCGGGGGGCAGCGCCCGGCGGGGAAGGAGGCGCCCGCGCTCGGCAGGCGGCGGCCCCGCGGAGGGGGGCGGGGCGGGGCGGGGCGGGGCGGCGCGCGGGCTCCACGCCCCGCGCGGGCGGCCGCCGGGGGGTTGAGCGGCCGGGGAAGTAGTCCCGGCCGGCCCCGCCCCCGCGGGGCGGAGGACGCAGCACGCAGGGCGGGGGGCCGGATCCGTGCGCGGGGTTGCTAAGGGTGAAACTTTTCATTGACTTTGCTCACTCCGGGCCGGGCGCGGCAGGTGCGGGTCGTCGCGCAGCGCAGCCGGTGGCTCGACGACGCGGGGCCAGAGGCAGAGGCGCCGCCGGCCACAGCCCGCCCGCTCCGCCGCACGACGCCCGCCGCCCCCGCGCCGCCGCCGGCCCGGCCCCCGAAAGCTGACAATTACTGTCGCGAGGGTCGCCCCCCGCAGCCCCGCCGGACCCCGCGGCCGAGAGCGCGCCTCGGCCCGGCCCGGCGACCCCCGCCCGCGCCAGGAAGGAGAGCGACCCCCGCCCGCGCCAGGCCGCCCTGGAGCGAGAAGCCGCCGCGGCCCGCACAGCGCCCGGCCGCCGCGGAGATCGAGTGAGTGAGTGGGGGGCGTGCGCGCGGGGGACCCCGAGACCCGACAGGCCCGGCGCCTCCCCCGCCCCCGCCCCACTCGGGCTGCCCGCTGGTGCTGGATGCTCGGGGGGCCGCCGCGCCCCCCGCCCCGGCCAGCCTCCGCCTTCCCCTCCGACCCCTGCGCCCCCCTCCCCGCCTCACGCTCGCGCGCCTCCTGGGGTCCCCGGATCCCCTTCTCCCACTTCCAAGCGTGACCCCCTCCGGGGGGTGCATTTCCTCCCTCCCGCCGTCCTCAGCCCTTCATCTTCAGAGGCCGGCTGGCTGGTCCGGCCTCACCGCAGAAGCCCAGCCCCGCCGTCGCGGACCGAGCCCCAGGAAGGACGGGAGTCCGGGCCTTGTTTTTCTGCTGCTCTTCCCGTGCGGGGGGGGCAGTAATTAGTGGGGTTTATTTCTGGCTCCGGAGCCTGCGATGAAGGTGGACAGCCCCTTTTGGACCGGTCAGTGGGCGGTGGCTGTCCTCGGGCCGCCGAGCCAGGAGTCACCATCTTAGCCGAGCGCGTTCTCCCCTGCGGGCCGCGGGGAGCGCGGGGAGGGGAGCCCCAGATCGCTCCAGCCCGTCGGTGCCGCCGGGGCGAGCCGGGCGCCTCCGTGGCCTTCCCTGCTGCCCGGAGGGCGGGCCGTGCCCTTGACCGGGCGGGCCGGGAGGGCGGGGGCCGCCGGCAGCCCCCCCACCCCGGGGCCGAAGCCCGCGCGCGGGTCCCACCTGGGGCTCTCGCTCCCACGTCCCCCCCCCCCCCCGCCTCGGGAGAGGGCCCCTCACCTTCGCCTTCCTGCAGAAAAGCACTCCTGGGGCGCCTGCCCCGCCCCTACTGAGAAGAGGGGAGAAGCCGAGTGGGAGGGAGGACGGGAGCGAGCCGGGGAGTCCGGCGGCGGGGCCAGCGCGGGAGGCGCCGCCGCGGTATCAGGGCCCCGCCGTTACCCGTGCCGGGCTTGGGAGAGGGGGAGCCTCGGGGCCCCCTGGTCGCCCGGCCGCTGCTGGCCGCGGGGCCGGGGCCGAGCCGCTGGCGGAGAGTGAAAAGGCGCTTTTCTCCCCGAGCGCGGCCCGCGCAGCCCCAGCCGGGACCGCCCGGCCGCGGCACGGCCTCGGCGGCTGGGGGAGCCGGGGCGCCCCTCTCCGCCGGCCCGCGCCTCCCCCAGACAAACTCGGCAGCCGCGGGAGACGGGGAGGGGAGGGGGGAGGGGAGGGGGTTCGGCTGCTGGGCGGGCGGGCGGGCGGGCGGGGCGCTGCCCCCGGAGAGCCGCCCTGGCGGCCAGGGTTTCTGTAGAGTGTGGTGGGCGGTGGGCGGGGGAGGGGCGCGCCCGCCACAGTGCGCATGTGCGTCGGAAACTTTTCCTCGCTCCTGACCCTGGGCGGCTCTCCTTACCAGGCATGCGCCTTGCTGGCCCGGCCTTCGCAAAGAATGCTGGGAGCTGCAGTGCTCTGAGAAAGTAGGTCACTTGCTCCAGCCTGAGCGCGAGGCGGCTGAGGACTACGATTCCCAGGGTACCGAGCGCGCCTGCTCGCCCCCGGCCTCCCCGCCGACGTTGGGGTCTTCCTGGCTCCGGAGGCGCCTGGCGTGCCCTAGCAAGGGCCCTGTTGTGTGAAGGAACCTTGTCCACCCTGGGCTGGCACAGCCCCTGTTTGGGGGAGACGGTGTGAGATTCTGGGCGGGGTAGGCACGAGTCCTCGAAGCCCCAGCCACACCCGCCTGCCCTGGCCGCTGCCTGCCAGGCGGCGGGGCGGGGCGGGGCCGCGGAGCCCTGGCTCTCCCGGGCAGGCGCGGCGGGCCTGGCTTGTGACAGCCGCTGGCCTTGCTCGCAGGGGGGACCCTTCTCCCCGACCACCCGCCCCCCGCGCATTCGAATCCTGTCGTGCTCCACGCTGGGCGCTTTGGGTGTTCAGGCTCGCGTTGCCCGAGTGTCTCTACAGGTACTCGTGGCCTGGGCCTGGACGCGCTCCTTCGCCACTAGCCCCTCTTTCTATGTTAAAACTCATCCTTTTCTTTAAAAACCTTCCTTCGCGTTCTTGTCACAAGGTCTCTGTAGTCTGTATTATATACCTTCTGCGACAGCCCCCTTCCAGCTTCAAGCCGTCTTTCCTCCACTCTCTTTGCCGCTTCTCAAGTATTTGTTCTTTAAAACACACATCAGCCCGAGGGACCTGAACCCAGGATTAGTTTTGCTACTGGAAGTGAACACGTGAAGGGGGATAAGATGTAAGTGAAATTGGACAGAATTTGCTCTCACGTTTGCACCTCTTTAGTATATGGACAAAAGGTAGGTTTTGTTCTTGTAGCCCACCCCACCGCCCTTTTTGCCTTTCTGGTCATTTGCCTTCTGAGTTAGGGTTGGAAACAACAGTGAAAGCCTTTTGCTGCTCTTAAATCTGTTGTTCCTTTCCAGGGGTAGTTATACCAAGCTTTCCAGTCTTAACCACCTTCTGTGAATATTTTATCTATAAGCTCTAGGGTTTGCCTGTGACCTTTAAAAACTTTTTAGCAGGGCCTCCTCTGGTGGCGCAGGCGGTTGAGCGCGGCGCTGTGGCGCTGTCTGCGGCCTCTTCTGCGCTGGTTCGATCCCCGCTGTCCAGGCGAGGGTCCCACATGGGGCAGCAGACCTCTCCTGGCTGCCGGCTGCTCCCCTCAGCAGTGTATTTCAGTCAGTCTGCCTGTTCTGTTCCCCACTCTGTCTCTGGTGAGTCCTCTCACCCTCCCACGCATCTGGCCTGTACCCCGGGTCTTATATAAATAAATACATCTTTTAAAAAAACTTTTTAGCAAATTCACTTTGTGGTCACTCCTCTCTTTAGTTAAAGACAACACAGCGCCAGTGGTTTCATCTTTCCTGTTGCATAAGCTACTTGAAGTGAAAATTAGAGCCTGCGCTGATAGAGCAGAAATTCTCATTCTGGTTGTCCGGCATTTTTGTGCTGTTCCACCCCACAGCCATCTGGCCTGGCCTGTTCTCTGATTAAAGAGGCAAAGGTGGCATTTATCCACTTCCTTATTTGTGCTGCAGCATCACTGAGGTGTGCACTGGTGCGCAGCTTTGGATCGCTTACGCCGCAGAAGCATTGAGCTAGTCGGGGCCCATGGCGGAAGTTCTATTGTATTTTGGGGTGGGAGGTTTATTTTCCAGTGACTTTGATCTGCATTGAAAATGTTCTTATTTTGAAGTTGGATTGTTTGGGGTGGTTAATGTGAAAAGCAGTTCTTCAGCAAAGCCTGCAGAGGCCTAGAAAGGCAGGAGCCCTCTGGCCTAGCAGCGTGCCGACAGGTCTCGTGCTGCCCTGTGTTGTGTGAGTCTGTTTTGCTGTTCCCACTGTCAGGAATGAGTGCCAACTTTGTTCATCACCTTAGTGCTGTACCTCGATACACCTCTAGTGGACCACTGTGGCCCTTTCAAACCTGCTCTTGAGGGGAGGCTGACCCAATCCTCATGACACAAGGCTCCTCATTCTTGCTACCATTCTTCTCTTTAGTCCTGGAAGCACTCTGGAGTCGCTCTGTGGTCACCTTAGACAGTTGAAGACACTGGGATGAGTCTGTATTGGAGGCAGGAGTAGAGGGGAGACAAGGTCTCTTGAACCCTGTGGAGGAGTTGGAAGAGATGACGGTCAAGGCCTCTCAGTTGACAGCCCAGGCTACCCTGTCTGTCTCCTCAGCCCTGAAATGAGGGTGGGATTAGGCCCAGCCACTGTGCATGATGCTGCAGGCAGATCGCTGTCCTCATGTTGAGATCTTGGCCTGAGGATTCAGTCTCAAATGCCCTTAAGAGCCACAGCACCAGCCCCGAGAACTGCAAGGTGTGTGTTGGGCAGGTATTCCGAGAGCTTCAGGCCTGGCTCTAAAGGAATGGTAACAAAAACCAGCCCCAGGCCTTCGACTGGACAGAGGATGCCCTCGATGGGCCTTGCCTTTGTGCTGAGCCCTGTAGTTCAGCTTCGCCCAGGAGCCTGGCCGGGACCTTGTCCTGGCCCTGCCTGCCCTCCGAGGTGGCCAGTTCAGCTCCGTTCTCCCAGCGTCAGCCTGGAGCTGCCCTTGAGGAGAAAGTGAGATTAGGGTTGCTGACCTCGGGCCCTCCCAGATCATCTTGAGACATGAAGCTGGCCCGGACCTTGGGGGTAGACCTTTTTGACCTCTGTGGGATCTGGCTGTGAGCGAATCCCAAAATAACAATCTGAGTGTTTATCTTGGGCTGCCTCCTCTCCAGGGATTCCAAGCATTTGGCAAATTGGACCCAGCACCGAGGACAGGTGGTCACACAGTCCCTGGGAGACTGAGTGATGATGGTCCCCAGCTGGAGGCTGTAGGGGATGGAAAATTTCCCCTCTGCCCCTCTCATCACTGACATGCTTCCCGGGAACTGCAGGCCAACCAGTGCTGCTTTTAACACTTCCGTTGGCCTGGAAGACCCTGCTTTCCTCGCCTTCCTCTGCTTCCTTGGGGAGTCTCCCCACCCCAGCCCCGTCAGCGGTTCCCTGTTGGTCCACACCGCTGCTTGTGACGGGGCTTGGCTTCCCCCAGGGGCCATGCTTTTGACGCCATCCTTGGAGATGGAGGGATGTGAGCACCTCAGTTACCCTGCAGGTCTGAAACTACTCCTGCAGGCCAGGGAACCCAGAGGACAAACGGAATGTGACTGCCGTTTGAGCCCCCGCTGGTACTGCCTGCTCAGTGACCTGTATCCCTTTCCATTTACGGGGACAACTAGAGATGGTAAACTTATGTCTCGGCCTGTGGCATGGTGGGAGCGCGACTTCACCAAGATGATTGGAGAGACAGGTTAGCAAGAGCCGCCCCCTCTCCAGCTGAATTAGGGGCTCAGTGGTTTTGGTCAGGTTGGCACAGTGACCTGAATTCTCGGAGTGGTGGTGCACAGTACCCCTGGTTCTTCCGAAGTACTTTAAAATGATAGCCACTGACTTTGCTGGCTGAGGGCCAGCTGCAGGGTAAGGCAGCGTGTCTTCAGGCTAACACAGTCTTCCCGGTGCTGGAAGTCAAGGCTCCAAAAAGCATGTCTTGCCCGTAGTCTCGCAGTTTAGCTGGTCGCTGGTGGAGCAGAAATGGGCCCTGGGTCCGTGTTGGCTCTGCTGTCTGTCCTTGGCCGTGATCCCCTGGTTTTCTGCATCCACTCACCATCCCCTCTCTTGTTCCCAGGGCTATCCGGATCCCAAAGCTGCCTCCGCACGTCTCCCGACGCTGCCCTGGGCTTCCGCACGTGCCCTGCACTGACTCGCTGCCTGGGAGAGGACCATGCAGCTGGAGATCAAAGTGGCCCTGAACTTCATCATCTCCTACTTGTACAACAAGCTGCCCCGGCGCCGGGCAGACCTGTTTGGGGAGGAGCTAGAGCGACTCTTGAAGAAGAAGTACGAAGGCCACTGGTACCCTGACAGGCCGCTGAAGGGCTCCGGCTTCCGCTGTGTCCACATCGGTGAGCTCGTGGACCCCGTGGTGGAGCTGGCTGCCAAGCGGAGTGGCCTGGCAGTGGAAGATGTGCGGGCCAATGTGCCTGAGGAGCTGAGCGTCTGGATCGACCCTTTCGAGGTGTCCTACCAGATCGGGGAGAAGGGGCCCGTGAAAGTGCTGTACCTGGGTGACGGCGAGGGCTGCGTGGCCCCAGAGCTGGACAAGGAGATCAAGAGCAGCTTCAACCCGGAGGCGCAGGTGTTTGTGCCCATTGGCAGCCAGGATAGCTCCTTGGCCAGCTCCCCGTCGCCCTCCTTTGGCCAGTCCCCCAGCCCCACCTTCATCCCCCGCTCTGCCCAGCCCATCACCTTCACCACGGCCTCCTTCGCTGCCACCAAGTTCGGCTCCACCAAGATGAAAAAGGGGGGTGGGGCAGCGAGTGGGGGTGGTGTGGCCAACGGCGGGGCGGGTGGCCAGCAGCCCCCGCAGCAGCAGCCTCGCCTGGCCCGCTCTCCCACCAACAACCTGCTGAAGCACAAGAGCCTCTCTCTGTCTATGCACTCGCTGAACTTCATCGCGCCCACGCCAGCGCCTCAGTCCCAGCTCTCGCCCAACGCCAAGGAGTTTGTGTACAACGGCAGTGGCTCCCCCAGCCTCTTCTTTGACGGGGCCGATGGCCAGGGCAGTGGCGCCCCGGCCCCCTTCGGGGGCAGTGGGGCTGGCACCTCCAACAGCAGCAGCTTTGACGTGGCCCAGGTATTCGGAGGCAGCGCCAACAGCCTCTTCCTGGAGAAGACCCCCTTCGTGGAAGGCCTCAGCTACAACCTGAACACCATGCAGTACCCCAGCCAGCCCTTCCAGCCCGTCGTGCTGGCCAACTGACCGCGCCTGCCTGCAGGGCCAGAAGCACCCAAGACCACAGAGAAAGAGAAAGGAAAGGAAAGGCCAAAAAGAGAGGAAAAGAAAAATATACGAAAAGATTCCCGGTCGTCTTACTCTCACTGCTAGAAAGAGATGCAGCCCAGGCATGGAGTGGGAGCGGCTCCTGGAGCACCATCGAGTTTGACTCACCCCCTGCTGCGTTCCTGCCTGCCTCCGATTTATTTGGTTGATTTGGGTTTTATATTTTTTTTTACATGTAGTTTTCTATATAACATCTTTAATTAGTGGCTTCCTGTGCTAAGAATGGTCCAGATGTGAATTGCTGCTCCCTGCTGCCTCCCTCCCTCCTCCACACCGCCCCGCTGGGGATCGGTGTGTCCAGCTCCAGGGAAGGACGAGCTGCAGCTGGGGCCTGGTCCTCCCCAGAGCAGGGCGGGCTGCCCTGGGTCACTGCCTCTGTCACCTTATCCTCTCAAAGCCATCCAACCTCAGCAGGCCCTCGGGCCCTGCCACCCAGATAGGTCTGACCCCGACCCCAACCCCCACTCTCAGGCCTGGGCCGCGGGGAGCTGCTGGCTGGCTGCTGGCCATTGGACTCGCTCTCCCTAAGCTGACGTCTGTGGCTCTAGTGGGTTCCTTTCATCTCGGTCCTGTGGCCCTTCACTACCGTCCCCGCCGGCCCATGCTTTGTGGCCCTGGAGATCATCATTCATACATATGGCCTCTCTCGTGGAGCCTCTTCTTCGGGCTTCCTGTTGTGGGTCGGGTGGGGCGTGCGTGTGCGTGTGTGTATGTGTGCGTGCACACGCGCGCGCACACAAGTATGTCTGTCCAAGGTTTGCTGTCCTGTTTTAGAGGATTCCAAGCCATGTGAAACTTCCCCTCTGGATGTGATTCGGGGTTGCAGCAAGTGCTTACTAGGCGTGAGCTTGGAGTTGGGCCGGGCTGTCCGTCAGTCCTGCGGTGGGTCCGTGTGGTGGAGCGAGATGACGACTGAGCCTGAGACACTCCCGGGAAGGCACTGCAGGAGGAACCGGTCTCCAGACCGTGATGGGATCTGCACTTTTGTTAGTTTTTGACCAAAAAGGAGGGGGTCGTGTAACTGAGGGGCTGCTAAGGATACCCCAACCTCCAATGCCTAAGAGAAGCCCCTGGGCTCAGACTCCCCTGGTGTGAGATCTTGGCCCAGAGCGGGAGCCTGGGTCAGTGCCTGTGGCAGGCAACCCTGAGCCTCAAGTTGAAACCTGGTCTGGGGGTGGCAGGTGCTGTTCCAGTACCTTTTGCCCCTGCCTCCTTGAGCACCCCTTGGCACCTCCTACCGTTCCCTCTCCATGCACTGCCCACCCCTGCCGCGCCCTCGCTGCGCTGCTGCGAGGCCGCCGGTGGTGGCTGGGCTGTAGAGGAGCGCCAGGACCCCACCTCCCCCGGCAGAGAAGTGCCCCGCTTCCACACCGTGATGCTTGGCAAGTGGGGCGTGGGACACCAGGTCGCCCGTCACCAGAAGTTACCAAAGTCCTTGGCACCCCGCCCCCTCCACCTCCCCAGTGACCCTGTGTGGGCAACTGCTGGGACAGTGGGTCCCACCTGAACAGACACTGCCAGCCTGCTCCTGCGGTGGCTCCAGCTCTACCTCCCCCACAGGGCAAGGCCCTGGCTCCGCCTGGCACCATCTGTCCCTAGACTTCTCAGGGGCCAGCTCAGTCTGGGGCGCCCTCCCCCTTCGGCTCCCACCCAGGTGACCGGCCCAGGCGGGTGGCTGCTCTCCGGAGAAGACTGGATGCTGCCTGGCGGCCCTTCCTGCCGCCTCCCCCCGCCCGCACACAGGTACCCGCCCGAACCCCGGTTGGCTTGAGTCTCACCACATGCAGGGAGGGGGAGATGGGCCCCTGGCGTCTTGAAATATGAAGAAAGTGTGTTCAGGAGCGTGACTCCATGCCGGGCCCTCGCGCTCGGTGCCGTCTGTCGTCTCAGATCTTGGCATTTTTTGCTTCCATTTTATTTTTTTTAAGAAAACAAAAACAGAAATCTGCACTAATTTACCTGGTTTCGTAGGAAAATTTTTTTTTATTTTTTACATTTTTTGGTGTCCGTTTGTATTGAATAATTTGCTACATTTGTAAGATGTAAGAGGTATATATAATATATGTATATTTCTAACGTAAAAACGTAATTTTTTTCTTTTCAAGATTTTTTCTTAAAAAGAGGAGAGAAACAGATATTTTTTCAGGAAAAACAAACTTTAAAATAAAAAAAGGAGAATAAAACCCTTTTCTCCCCGGCCCCCATCCTCTCTCTGTTACCCTCTTTCCCAGGAACAAATCAAAAGGGTGGATCGTCTTGTAAAGAATGTAAACTTCTAGTCCAGAATGATGTATTTTTCTCAATGCAGTGAGCGATAGAGTCTCTAGTGTGACCCCCAGGAGGGGCCGGGGGGCCTTGAGGCGGCGCGGAGAGGAGCTCGGGAGCGGGGCGGGGAGCCCGCTTCTCTCGTGAAGGAGGAATACAATCAGGCGTTTTGTATTCAGAAAGTTGTGCAATATTTTGGAATGGGACATTGGTGTGTTTAGAGATTTAGTTTAAAAACAAAACAAAAAGATTGATCAAATCTGTACAGTTTATATTGTTCCAGATTTTTTTAAGTTTGTATTAAAAGCATGATATATAATAGCCTTCTGCTGCCTCTGGCCTGGCTTTGTTTCTGGGGGGCCCCTTTTGGTTGGGATGTCCCTGCGGGCTTCCAGAAATCACTGGTCATCCTCCCCTGACCCTGGCGGGCCTGTGTCACGGCCCCGCCCCCCACAGGACGCCTCAGTGCCCACTCCCAAGGGCCCCCTCCCCCCTGGAGCCCGCTCCCCCATGGCACTTCCTCAGTTCCTTAGGCTTGTTTATGCACTTGACAAACCCCCACGAGTACCCAGGAAGCACGGATTCCTGGAAAGCCTCGGGGATCGGCCCCCAGCCGGCCCTAGGTCTGGTATTTGCTGCTAGAACCTCAGAAGTGTGCAGGGGTAAGGAGCCCAGCTAAGTCAGGTTCCGACCAAAACCCTGGCGCTTGGATACCCAGCCCTCCCCACCCCCGGGCTAGCAGCGAGAAGGCCCTGAGGTTTTGATGAATGTCACCAGGGTGGGGGGTCGCCTCGGGCCCCTCACACCCCAAACAGGCCAAACTTATCCTCCCCTACCCAAACTTGTGAATTGGGCCTAGAAACTCTCCAGCCAAACAGCCAATCTCCACACGGGATCCCAGGAGCCCTGGACGCCTGACCTGCTGAGCAGAGGGAGGCCCGGCCTGCCCAAGGCTGCTCCCAGGGCTCTCACTTCCTCCGTCCTGCCAGGTGAGGCCCAGCCCAACTCTCCACACTTGTGTAAGGACTGTCTGCCCACCTGTGGGCCCTCAACACTCATTCCTCTTGGTTACTATAAATGAGCCGGCATGGGGCCTGCCGCCAGAGGTAGCCATGGCCACCGCTCCCACTCCCCGTCAGCTGAAGGGCTACAGGGGCCGAGACTGCCCTCCCAGCCTGCCTCCCGGCTGAGGAAATGGCAACTCGGACTTGAACAGGCCCGCACTGTCCAGCACAAGCCTGGGAAAGGTTCCTTCTTCACATGGCCGTGCCTCCCTCTCACCAGCAGCTCTCCTGCCCTAAAGGGGTGGAGTTGGAGACCTGGGTGTAAGGGGTGCCTCGGGGTCCCTATCCTGCAACAGAGGAAGAACAAACTCTGCAGTTCCTCAGTTGCTTAGGCTTGTTTATTCACTTGACAAACCCCCACGAGTACCCAGTCTTTTCTGGGGGCTGAGGGGAGAGCAGTTATCAGGCAGGTGTGTACAGAGGGCCGGAGAGGCCAGAAAGGGGTAGCAGACAGCTGGCTGAGGGGAGAGTAAGGCCCAGGGAACCTGCCTGGGAAGAGCCTGGACTCTGCTCTCTGAGAGGAGCCTCCACTCCTGTCCCTGCCGCTCCCGGCCAAGGGCCTCAAGCAAGCACTCCACCTACTCCGGCGCCTCAGTTCCCTGCCCTCTGAAAGGGGGAGAAGTAGTGCTCCCACTTGTTAAAATGAAATAATGAATGGAAAGTGCTGAGCCTGGTGACTGACCCAGAGAAAACAAGTATCATTTTCATCATCAAGGCCATTATCGTCCACCCTCCAACGCCACGCGTCAGCCCAGCGCCCGGAGCTTCCTTGCATCAGCAAACAGGTCGAAACCCAACCTCCAGCAACAGGACCAGTTTGGGGGCGGGAGAGGAAACTCCAGGCTCAGAGCAAGGCCGGGCCCCGCTCTGGCCCCACCAAGGTGGGGGGCTGCCATGGCATGCGAGTCAGCACCCGCACAGCGTGCTCTCCTGGGACAGGGGCTGGGATGGGACAGACCTCTGTTTCTGTCCCGAAACCTCCTGGGATTTTCTCCTGGAAAGCAGACAGGCGGCTGGGGTGAGTCATGGCGAAGGGAGAACCCCACTTCCTTCATCATCGCTGCCTAAGTCAGCACCCGCCTGTCCATGGGCCAAGGGGACACCACTGCCTGGCCCCTGCCAGGGCACCTCCCCTGAGTGAGTCAGGGGGTGTGGGGCCCACTCTCATTCTCCCTGGGCCTGGCCAGTTTGGCCTGGTTCTGCCCAGACAGGGCCTGTGGACAGGCTGGGAGCAGCCAACAAGTCTCCAAGCCCCTGGGCAACAGGAACCACCGCTGATCTGCAGCCGAGTTTGAATTTGAGGAGTTTCTCTGCCAGCAAGAGCAGCAGGCCCTTGGTCATTGTGGCAGCCAGCCCTCCAGGTCCCAAATACCCTCGACATCTGTCCAGCTGTGTGACAAGGGACATGGGGCTGGGCCCCCACCCAGATAGGCCTCTCAGACTGGTCCCTGGGCCAGCACCTCTTCCTGCCTCACTGGGCCCCAACCCCTGGTGGGGACTCTGGGGAGCCCTGTGCTGTGACACCTTTACCAGGGAAGGGCAGAAAGTCAGGGGAGCTGAGCCCTCCCCAGCAGGCAGGGACAGGGTCACATGGCTACAGGCTGAGGCTCGGATCAGAATTCCACAGGGCTACAGAGGCTGGGTGAAGAGGCCCAGCCCAGTGTTGGGGCAACCACATGCAGGGCAGGCAGATTCATTGGTGATTTGGGCAAATGGGTAAGGAATCTTGGAGCCCTCAATAGATTTGGCAGGCTAATTTAAATTTTTGCATAGGGGGCCTCCCTGCTGGCACAAGGGGTGAAGACGCATCCTATGAAGCTGTCCGCAGCCACCGCAGCACGAGTTCGATCCCCAGCCAGGGAGCTGCCCACATGGCACAGCAGAACTCTCCTGACTCACCCGCTGCTCCCCTCAGCAGTGTGTTTCAGTCAGTCTGCCTGTTCTGCTCCCCGTTCTGTCTCTGGTCTCTAGTGAATCCTCCCCCCCCCACCTCTGGCCTGTTCCCCAGTTCTTGTATGCATAAATAAATCTTTTAAAAAAATTTGCATAGAAGGACTGGGGTTAGGCCAAAGATGAAGTGGGGGGGGAGGGATGGTAGTGAGAGGATTCACCAGAGCGGGGCAGAACAGGTGGATAAGTGGGTGAAATAGGAGAGGTCTGTGCCATATGTGGGTCAGCTCCCCGGCTGGGGTGGAACTCAGGCCATAGTGGTGGAATCACTAAGACTTAGCTGCTAGGCCACGGGGCGGGGGAGGGGGGGTGTAGGGGGGGCAGGCGCCCACTTAACAGGCTTGTAATGCTGTAGCAGAAACTGGATACACAAGCAGAGAGCAGGCAGGGAAGCCGGCAGCAGGAAGGCAGGCAGCAGCCAAGCCTCCCAACCCCTCGCTCTCCGCCCTTTCTCTCCGGCTCCCTCTCCCAGTCTCCCAATGACCTCTCTGCCGGGAGCCTGTACTTACATGTCCCTGCACCCGGAGATCTCAACTTCTCCGCCCAGGGTCTGTGCTCTGCCCCGAGCTCACCCTCCCAGGCGCCATTGCAGTAACATACTACCACGTGCGGGCGGCCAAGCCCGGAGGAAAACAAGGCCGCAGGTGGCAGCCTTAGAGGCTAGAGGTGGGAGGAAGATCAAGCCCGAGCACCCCATTTTCCCTACACCGGCTTCGCCCTGGTGGAGGCCCCCTGCGCAAAAATTTAAATAAAAAAGCCTGTCAAATGTCAAATCTATCCGGCTCAAGGTTCCTTACCCACTTGCCCAAATCACCAGTGTGGACGCTGCGCCAGCGCGGCCGGCGGGACGAAAAGGCCAACAGCACACAAAACCCCGCTCTCCTGAAGACGACGTGCTACGAGCACAAGCAGCTCAGAGACGACAGACCAGGACGCGAGGACGCGCCGTGGGGACAAACCCGTGATGGCGGCCGGTGGCCACGGGGAAGGGGAACTCACCAAGGAGGGGGCTTTCGGCTGCCATGGGAGTTCCAGACCCCCGAGAGGAGCAGCGGCGAGAGCAGCCGAGAGGCCAGCGCGGCCCTCCGAGGCTGAGCGCCGGGTCCACGAGGCTCCCTGGCTTCCCGCCCTGCGGCACGAGCGTGGCTGCCCGGGCCGGGGGCGTGGGCGCGGGCACGCAGGCCTGTGGTGATGGACACCGGCCCCGAGCGCGGGCACCTGAGCCTAGAGGAGCGGGGCAGGGCGGCGAGGACCACGCTGAGGCGAGAGATGGAGACTGAGAGATGGAGAGAGTGGAGATGGGGCCCGGCCCGGCCACGCCTGTGCGCCTGGTTCCCCGCGAGCGTTAAAGGCCTGAAAAAGCCACCGAGCTCCCCGGGACCCTCTCGGTCTGGCCGAATGGACGGTGAACCTGGCCTGGTGCTGGGCCCAGGGTGAGGCAGCACAACAGGGCAGGGAAGGAAAGGGCGGCAGGAAACAGACGGGCTGGGGAGAGGTGGGAGGCGGAAATCCTTAGAGCCGTGCGGCGGGCGTGGGCCTGATGGCGGGCCCGGGAGGGCTCGGATTGGACCTGAATGTGAGCGTTGCCTCTCACACACGGGGCGGCCAGAGTGAGCGCTCACACTCAGTCTACAAGCCTCCCACGGTCCCTCCTTTGTGCCAGGTCCTGGCACAGGCCTGCTGCGCCGGGAGGTGCTTCTGGAGGAGGAAGAGCAGGGAAGAGACCTCGTTCTTGGACGTCTACACCAAACACACAACACCTGTGGCCAGCTCCGTGGCCAAAGGAGGCCCAGGGAGGCCCTGCCCAGCCCAGGAAGGCTCTTCAGGGCTGACAGAAGCCAAGGGCCTCAGGGTGGGCCAGTGTTTTGCAACCATCCCACGCCAAGTAGGTTCACCGTCAGTTCTAGCGATGTGAAGAATTTGGGGGCCCTTGGCATCATTTTCACAGGGTTAATGGTAAGCAGGAAACAAGCCAGCAGCGATGCAGCGATGTGAGCCCCCTGCGCACCCCCATGCACTCTTTCCTCTGGGCTTTCTCTGGCTCTCGGCTCTCCCTCTCCCAGGTGTTCCATTGCTGAGCATCGCCGCCCTTACTTCCCTGACCTCTAGGCTCAGGTGTGCACACTTGCACACACACACCTGTGCTCAGGTGTCCATAATCACACGCATGTCCTGCACCCACGTGCCCTCTATGTAAACAAGATCAAGGCCACAGGTGATGGCCACAGAGGCCAATGGCGCAAAAGCCTAACCAACTTCATTTACCTACAGCTAGTAAGCCGGCACCAGCATTGAGGGGGCAAC